TTAACATCATGTATCGGTAAGCTAGCGGAAAGAATGATAAACAACCGTCTCTACTGGTACCTGGAAAAACACTAACAGCTTGAATCCACACCAAGCAGGCTTCAGAAAAGGCAACAATACAGAAGACCAACTTTTTAAACTGAGTCAAAACATCCAGGATGGATTTCAGGAGACTAAACACACTGTCGCCATCTTTGTAGATCTCCAACAGGCGTACGACAGAGTGTGGAGAAAAGGCCTACTCATGAAAATGACGGACCTCGGGATACATGGCTAACTTTACAAATGGATCAAGTTCTTCCTGTCGGATCGAAACATTGAAACCAAGGTAAACAATGCCCACTCGTCAAGAGAAGTACTCGAGGAAGGGATTACCTCAAGGTTCCTGTCTGGGTTGCACTTTGTTCCTGATCTTCTTTAATGGTGTAACGGGCGTGCTGAAATCAGAAAAGACTCTACTTTACGCTGATGATCTTGCTCTCTGACAGACACATAACACACGATAGTAGGAGCAAGGAAATTAAATGAAGACCTCAAGAGGCTCCACAATTACTGTCAGAAATGGAAACTTAAAATTAACTGTACGAAAACAGTATACACCATCTTTACGAAGGTCCATAAAGCAGCCAAAGAAAATTTCCAACTAAAGATAGGAAATGAAAGTCTCCACAAAGAAGAACATCCAACTTACCTAGGAGTCAAACTTGACCATAGTCTAACAATGAAAAGCCAAGTGGAGAGTATAAAGAACCAGGCAAAAAAAAAGACTCCAACTTTTATTAAAGAAACTCGCAAACAGTTCATGGGGATCCGACAAACAAACTCTGAGAGCTCTATACCTTGGTTATGTCCGATCTTCCCTGGAATAAGGCAACAGCCTACTCCCTATGTGCAGTACAACTACTTTCAATACCCTTGACAAGGTCCAAAAAAATGCCCTTCGTTTTATAAATGGTGGCATGAGATGTACACCTACTGCCGCATGTGAAATCCTTTCAAATGTTGAACCCCTTGGAACCCGCAGAGATAAAGTAGTTTTGGAGTTACAACAACCCAAACTGGAAATTAGTAGAAACATGGAAACCAAAGAAACGAATTCAACAAAAGTCAATCATGCATCACATCACAGAACTAATGGAGAGTCACCATCTACCACAAAACAGAAAAGAAACCAAAAAAGTCAACCAAAACATCCCTCACCACCTTTCTTTAAAAAAGCCAATCATTACAACATCCCTCAGAGACAATAGCTCAAAGTCTTCAGACCCAGTGACGCTGATGCTTGCATCACATCAAACAATCGACAGCTATTCAGATGACTGGATACACGTCTATACGGACGGCTCAGCATTCAAAGGCACGACCAAAGCCGGATATGTAATACTAATACAGTACCAAGAAGGAAGTTCCAATGAGATCTCTGCAGCCTGTGGAGAGAAATGCAGCAACTACGATGCAGAAATGATGGCAACTGAAACTGCACTGTACCATCTCCGCAATTTGGTTGTTGACACTCTTCCTGGAAAAGCACAGAGTATTGTGATTTTCACTGACTCACTATCAGTCTTACAAGCCATAGAAAATGACCATCATCTAAACCAAGATTTGACTCATATAGTGTTTGGCTCCCATTATCTGATAACATTCTGTGACATCAACCTAGTAATGCAGTGGGTCCCCAGACACTCAAACATACCTGGAAATGACAGAGCAGACACACTTGCCAAACGGGGATCTAGACAGGAACAACCCAACATTCCAACTTCATATAACACTGCAAAACAAATCATTAAAAGCAATAACCAACAAGATTGGATGAACAGATGGGCCCTAAGAAAGACAGGTAGGGCAGTTTTCAAACATATGACCACGACAAAAAGGAATGACAAAATCAACCACCTACAGAGAAAGAAACAGACCACAATGTTCCGCTTACGAACAAAACATACACAGCTCAACTTCCACCTGAACAGAATAAACCCGGAACTTCCCCCAATGTGTCCCTTGTGTGCCTATGTATATGAGACTGTGGATCATCACCTGTTCCACAGCACAGCCCTAAATGACATCAGAGCTACCCTTCTCCCTCCGAGACCTAACATTGACAACACACTCTATGGAACATTACAGCAACTGCAGCAAACCTGCACTTATCACTACATGGCATTGGACAGAAGGGCGAGAGCCCAGCTGTTGCTGGATCGATAACAACAACAACACAACAACAACAACAGCAACAACAACAACAACAACAACAACAACAACAACAACAACAACAACAACAACAACCATTCTGGGGTTTTCCCTCATTGGTGCTCTAGTGTGACACTGTGTGCCCACTTTCAAGTCTTTTGGCATGAACCAGCGTCAAGAAGACACGCATTTAACATGCTTTAATCTTTCTTTTTTCTGTTCAATCTCTAGGGACAAAGCTACATATCAAAGGAAGACCAGCACAGGCACAGCCTTACCTGATACAGTGAACAATGCAGGGGCAGCTGTCAAAAATATGATGTGCCTTTGAGGAAGTCACCCACCTTCACGGCATTGCTCGCACTACCCTTCAAAACAATGTAAAGAAAGCTCTTCAAGGTGATGTTGAATTGTTTCCAAACTATCGGCACAGTCAAGTACCCACAGTAGAACAGGAGGCTGAATTGACGCTGTACATATTGAAATGTGCCAAAAGATCCTATTGTTTGACAACTGCTAACTGCAGAAAACTCTTCTATGAAATCGCTGTTGCGAATCACCTATGACCTTTTGTACTCATCTTCGGAGTATGATGCAAAATGTGCCGGAAAGGAGACGTGGAAGATGGGCTTTCTTAAAATTTCTTTGGAGACATCTGCAACTCAGTTTGCAACAACTAGTGACTATCTCATAGGCAGGGGTCACAGATTTCAAACATTCTGTGAGAACATTTTTCAACTTGCTGCAGGCTCTTTCTAGATAGAGACCTGGGTGTCTCTGGAGCTCAGATACTCAATCTTGGCGAAACAGGAATCATAACAGTTCACTTAAAGTCCCAAAAGTCATCGGACCTCGTGGTAGCCTACTAAACAGTTGGACCAGATAACATTAGCAGAGCGTGGCGCGGTGTGTTTGTTCACAACAACAAAAAACACCCAGTTTTACTTACTTATTTTACTTTTTTCTTCCGCTTATACCGGTGGGTGTCGCGGGGAGACACGGGCGTCTGTCTGCAGCAAGGCGAGTGGCCTGTAGGAGGGACATCCAGTTTTACTAAGTTGGGATTGTTGTCAAGGGAAGGGACGAAGGTGATGTTGAGGCTGAGTTGTTGTTGTTTTTTTCAGAAGAAAAGACAAAAAGAGCCCACACTTTGTAACACCAGCAGTGGAAGATACTTCCTGTGTCCATATTGACTCAATCAGAGGCAGTGGCGATGCGTCTATATAATCAAATAATCACTGCTTCCCTTCCTAATTTTGAAACATTGTCACTGTCAAATTCACCCATAAACGTAAACCTCATAAATTAAATGTAAAAAGACGTTCATAATCAACAATGAACAGTATGCATAACATTAAAAACGGTTTCACGGCCTCAGAAATAGCATGCTCACCCCTCTCGGGCCACTCCATAAGCAGTCGCAAGCTTTGATTAAGTAAGCTTAAAGTGAGGCTGGAAGAGTCTACCAATAGAGTTGAAGGGAACATGTGCATAGCAGTCAAAACTGTTTCATTGCCACATATAGGCTACCCTGTTTTGGGGCCACAGCTATAAGCAATCACAAACCCTGATTATATAAGCTAACTAACACTGGTCGAGTCTACCTCACAAATGTGAGGGGAACTAACTCCTAATAATAATAATCTCTTGACTGCTGTAAGTGCTTGTTGTTGTTTTTTCCTCGACTTTTTACCGTCCTATAATCAGATCGTGACCTCTATTATGACACCAGCTCCTGGCCGCGAAAGGCTAGACAAACACAGCTAAATGTGAAATTTTAAAAATGATAATTGTCATGTTCTACCAAAGAGTTAGACTCACTGGTAGATCTATAACATACAGATCTAGTACTGACATCTCTGCTTCTTTGCTTTGTGTTTGTGTATTCACATCTAGTAAAGTTCAATTTAATTTTAGTTGACTTTGATAATTAATAAGATACTTTCCTGAATATTTTGGCGGTTGAATACATACAATATGAATTCCGGATTTGTTTTCATTTACAACTCAGAGTCGCTGCCTCGAGTAAGATTCTTGTGTGATATCTACAGGCCATATCTGGTCCCGTTTCACTTTGATTACCCTGCCAAACAAGTCAGCCTTCGCCCCTGAATTCAGAGGCACTATTGCAAGAACCATGGAGGTGACATCTGTTTCTAGGTTGACTTTGGATACTTTGGTGGTCTTTATTTGCGTTTAATTCCATAGGTGTGCCGTTGCGAGGAGTGTATTGCTTGTTTTTTTGTTTGTTTAGGTTTCAGTTGTATTACCTTAACTTCTCCCCACCCATGGCCCACTTCCCACCATTGACTCCATTGTATATGTTGACTTCAGCACCATATAAAACCATTTTCATTCTTCCTCTGTGTACCGCCTATAACTGGTATTTAAACACAATAAATGTTGTTTCGATTGATATAAAGCACTTTGTCCTCGTTTTTTTTTTTCATTTTTGAGTTATTTCGTTTTTTTTCAAAGATCCTTCCGCGGTGGCCCAATTCCGCACTCTCTCCTAAGTGACTGATAGCAACACCGTTGTCGATGGCAGAATGACCTATTTACTTTTCTACACAAGCATGTTTAGAAACATGAAATGAGAGAGAGAGAGAGAGAGAGAGAGAGAGAGAGAGAGAGAGACAGAGAGAGAGAGAGAGAGACAGAGAGAGAGAGAGAGAGAGAGAGAGAGAGAGAGAGAGAGAGAGCGTGTGTGTGTGTGTGTGTGTGTGTGTGTGTGTGTGTGTGTGTGAGAGAGAGAGAGAGAGAGAAAGAGAGAGAGAGAGAGAGAGAGAGAGAGAGAGAGAGGGGGGGGGGGGGGTCAATGCACATCACGCACCAGGGTTGATAAGTTAATTTTTAAAAACCAGTAGATTAACTAGAGAGATGCTTTTCATGCAGGATTTTAGCCAAACTAACGGGAAAAAAAACCCTGCTAAAAACTTGTATAAAACCGCCACGGCAGATATTTTTGTGTTTTACGTTTTATATTATATCAATTACGTAAAAGTAAACTTTTTTTCACCATTCTCACAGCCATCCATACTTTAGTATGCATGTTATAGATTTGCGTATGAAAGACGACAAAAAATTTAAAGCAGAAGTGAAGAAAATTGTCAAACTACTACTACTGAAAAAGACTTTGCCAATTTTTGTTTTACCTATCTACCAAGCTGGCAACACTGATGTAGAGATCAAGGCCTACTTTCATTTCTTCGACAAAGACAAGGCCAAGGCCAAAGAGACGAATTTTGTTAGCAATAGCATTATTGAAAAACGTATCTTTGTTGTAGTCAATCTTTACTTAATTCTTTCCACCTTATGTAGCTTTTTAAATCAAATCTTTATAAGAACCGAAATATTTTGTGATAACTTTTCAGGAACAGATTATTCAGGGATTATTTTTATTGAAAACGAAAGCCTTTTACCGGAAGTCAAAAGCCATCATTAGATCTCTATACCCCTGCGCCTCAATCTAAACAACAATGGCTACTTCCAGCGGCGTCAGTCCCGAACTGATTGACCAATTTGTTGCTGTTACAGGTATCCTTTATTACTTTTGTTTTGTATATGTTTTGGTAAATTGTTGCACTTTTGTGACAGAACTTTTTGAAGTAAAATTAGTGCTGAATTCAATGTTTAGGCATCCGTTTTCCTGCCCTACGTGTTTGTGATTGTCATTGTGTTTACCAACGCCAACCTCCAACGCTGACCCAACGTCAACGTTGCTCTGTCACACTCTGTTAAGTTGTGGTGTTGATTTGTCTGTTGATCACATTCAAATGACCGAATGCTCGATTCACCGGCAGAGGCAGAGGGTAAACTGAGGCAGAGTTGATGATAACTTACTTTTTGGGCGCTCGGCACTCTTCGTCTAGATTCTAGATCTAGAATCTAGATTTAGATGGCCATCTCTAGTGAGAATAGTGCAGGCGAGTCTTGTGGCTATTCTCACCCGGTGCGCGTTCACCAAATTTTGCGTTCACCCTAAACCAC